ACATTGGATCTAGAGTCCAGACTTTTGAAAACATTGACAAGAAAAAATAATGTTGATTCAATCGGATTTTTGCTTGAATCAAAACGAAATCCGCTTAAATTAAGAGGCTTGGTTCTTGATTTAAGCTAGATTCTGATTGAATCAAGAGTAATTTTTCTTTGTCGATGTTTTTAAGAGTCTGGACTCTAGATCCATCGTGTTTTTCCAGTGCACGAAGTCTATGCGATCTTTCATGTAAAAAGTAGGTCACTCTTTTCTACTCAAGAGTTTTCCAATTGAAGGATATCCTAAAATATTTTACAGGTTGATTATACATATTGATAGATATTAAGTATGTATGTCTAGTATTTAAAATGTACGGAAGATTTGCTTTTAAACATCCCTCATGAAAATAATTTTCAAAAATTTGTCAAATATTCAGTCTCATTTCTACTAACTGTGCGCTCCTCAAGGAGCCGCGGCGCTCAGAGTGCCAGAGCAATCGAACTTTGAAAGTCGAACACGAGAAAGTTCCGGCCGCGATAACTCATCCAGTTCTGAATAACCTCGCTACATTTCAGCGGGGACGGGCGAAAAAGGGGAGAGGAAAAAAACTATAAAAGTAACATAGCTGGAATAAAAACTTTTTTAATAAAATGCTCAGGTTAAACGGACATATTTCAGAACTCGACTCCAGGGGCACCTCCGGTGAGGTATGAACTGTTCGAATTGTGACTGAATGAAGTTTCCTTTTTCACGAGTCGCGCTAGAAGAGAAAACTTTCTCACGGCTTTCAGTCGACAAGCGATGTTACGCAGGTATGCTAAACATTCTTTCAGGCGAAGAGAACCGAGGATACACATTCGTCGCTTGGATATTCTCAGCTGGCTTTAATTTGAAGGGTCGTAATTGATCAATCGTGATAATCCTAAATAGAAGCCATACGTTGCTCCAAGGTTAGAGGAACGGCGAGGGCAAGGTCAAAGCGACTCATTCTACTATCGACCGTCGCACGGTGAACTTATTTTTTAAAAATTTTTCAAACATGAGACCTTTACATCGATTTTAGAGAGCAAGGGTGCTGTGGAGGACTGAATGGTTCATATTAATTTTCACTGATAAGTGAATTAATGGGAGATCAATTCGTATGAAATGTATATTTTGTGAAAAGATTTCGTCTTTTGTCGTGCAGTTGGAAAATTTATGGAAGGGCAGTCTGGTTGGTGAAGAATACGTCTCTGGGTCGTGAAAATTAAATGTATGCGATAAAATAATAAGTTCCATGAAGAAGCCAAGTCTTTGCGTTTATTAGTAACGGGAATAGTGTCGAAAAAATTAGTGATTCTCATACTGAAGCAACTGGTTCATTCAGCATTTCATCATTTGAATGACTGATTGACTGTAAATCGTGTGATTTTTAGCACAATCCCGGTGCTGCGCATAGTTAACCCTCTGTGATTTGCGACCGTGGACTCCCAGGCCTTTTTTCAGTTTGTGATCTTATGCGTCCTGAAATGGACTTAGCTATTAGTCAAAGCTTTCTTCTTTTAAAGTTTGACAAATAATTAATTAAAATCAAATTAAAATATGATTCAGTGAGTAGAAAATAATAAAACTAAACAGAAGGTTGAATTCAACAAAAGAAACTCAATTAAGACACGTCATTGTATTCGAAAAGTAAGGGATTCTAAACTCGTAGAAAAATCAATGGGCCATGAATGTATATTTCTCTAAATCCTATTTTATCTGATCGTTATTCTCTTCAAAGGAGGCCGGATGGACGATGGAGCTGAAACAAAAGTGTTCAGCATAATGTTCACTCAAAAAAAAAACTACGGCCCTGTGACCCGGTTGCTCTGGACACTGGTGATCCCGGCGTTAACGCGCTGTGCGCCAGCTAGTACTGGACCCAGCGGCCGGTGTCCCGTGGACCCCGCGCGGCCTTCATGGCCGTAAGACCGGTTAGGAGCCGAGCGTAAGTTACGGGTTTCAGGATCGGAGCCAACCGCTTCCACGGCCGTTGGCAGTGAGGTGAGATTCAGTTTTCGGAAAATGGCGTCACCATCAGATTAAAATTGAGACGGCTACGTGTATATTCGCAGAAAATTATAATATTTTACGTCAATGTTATTCAGTGCGTGAATTTAAAGTTGCCGCCAGCCTTGAACATTTTCGGGAGCGATCGCAGCCACCACTCAGCGTTGTTTATTGAGGTTAGAATCTAGTAAATTGCTTGTCATTGTTGGTCATTGCTCATTACGTGTGTTCGTTTTTCGTTTAATTTTGGAGGTTTTCGATATATTTTCTTGATTCTGTGCGGTGCACGATTGATTCTAAAGTTCTGTGTGATAACGCTTGTCAAATACTTTCGGAAATGCGACGAGAGTTAAGTGAAAATTGTCAGTTTTACCTACACACTGAGCTCATATCCTCTCCTCCTGTAAGTTCGTTTGCAATTCACTTATTTTCCCCTACTAAGGGAAAGAACTTAAATCCAAGAAAAGCAATCAATTACCTGCCACGCATCTTCCCACAGAGTAAATTACCGCCACACTAAAATACTGATAATGTAGACACAAGAATGTCTATTTACCGATTGCAACTTCATTGTGCCACCTTTGCTTGCTCATAAGATTGGGTTGATTTTTTATTCCATTTCAATCTAATCTCTGGCTTATACTTAAATGTTTTCAATTGAGAGTAGGTAGTATTTCACTCTCCGACATCCAACACCTCCCTTCTCTGTTGCCAAAATAGCTGTCCGCCAGCGGAAGCTATAAGCCAATCTTGCCTGCGTTGATTATCCGATAAGAGCCAGTGCAAACATTGTTGCTGTGAATATCTCTCTGATTCCATATCCCAATTCTAGGGAGCTCAGTCTACTGTAATAGTGGTAAAATTTTGTGTGAATCGCGCTTCAGTTTGCTGAAGGGAAGATCTACAATTTTAACAAGTGTGACAATTTTCGGTGGTATATTTCTTCGCTAATATTTTGTGGAAATTGTATCCGGTAGTTATTGCGGAGAGTTATATCTTGAAGTTTTGTCAACTTTTACTACTGAATTTACACTTTGAAATATTCTCAACCTCATTTTCAAGATTCTGAAGCTTTTCTAGTCGTAAGGAGTAAAAATCTGTAAGTACCTAGACCTACGCCTGTGCTTTTCCTTTGTTAATCATTTGGGTGATTTCCTACTTTACATTCGTATTTTTTATTGAGGGATGAACCAGGTTTTGTTTTTGACAAATGCTGAATTCTCATTGAGTGAAAGTAATTACATTTATTGAGAACGGGCTGCCAAGTGATAAAAATGATTTTTCAATTTACATTTTTCGCTGCAATGAGTTTTAGCAATTTATCATACCTTGGACAGTCTGTTCTACATTTAAAATAGGTAGCATGAATTTTTGATCTATCTACATTTGTTCCTTCCAGTGCTTCCCCAGTGCTTTATTTATTTCTACGAAGGCTTGCAACATTAAGTTAGGTTTTTGAAAATTTCTCTTGATATCTCTACACGATGAATAAGCTAACATTCATATGCTGATTTTCTTTCTCAATAAGCATCATCTCTTCTCTAAGATTCATCTCTTTTCTCAAATTGACTTGCTGAACTATCAGCCAAGGAGTTCAAATCTCTCTTGATATCTGAAACATGATCAACAAGCTAACGTTCATATGCTCTTTTTCTTTCTTAGACATTGAATTATCCATCACTTTCCTGAAACTAAATTGTTATGAACTATCAACAAAGAAATATATACCTATTTTAAAAAGAAGGAAAGAAAAAAAATCTTGTTCAGAAATTGACACAAGATAATTCACTCAATGTTTAAAACTTTGCTGGAAAGTTTTTCTTTTCTAAGTATGTACTTTAATGGTGAATTTTCAGCTGTAGTTCCGAAAAAATCCACCACGTCGCGGACAGCGGCGGCGCGCAGAGCTCCGGCCGTCCAGCCCGTAAGTAGCGCCTAGAGCGCAAGCTGCCTATGCCGCTCGAGGCCGCGACTTACGGTTTTCATGTCCGTAGGACTCCGCATCGTCCCCGCACGTAGCAATCCGGCCGTCAGGCGCGTAGGCGAACGGTAGTGCCATATAGCCCATCCAGTCCGTGCTCCAGGTCCGCTGCTTATGGCCTCCACGGCCGGAGCTTTTTTTGAGTGTGTTTCATTGTATTTTGTTGATCACATGGCGACCATAAATTTAGTGGCAGAGAAAATACCAGCAGTGCAACTTCTTTTTTGGCTCGCTGATCACGTTGGGTCCCCCTTCGAATTAAGTGCAATTTTATGAGCAGACTGCGCCTTTGAGATCCTGCCAAATAGGTCGAATCTTCTGATGTGGTCCACAGAATCATGTATTGTTTTCCAAAGCGTGGAGGATACACGAATGAGGAAGCTCCCTTCTTTGGAATAGAACTGTACACATCATTTGAATTAATGTGACTAATTTGGATACTGTATACCATTGGAGTAGAGTAGAACTAATGTGTACTTCACGGTTCAGTTTTTAATAAAAAATTATGTGGGTTGACTATCAAAATTGTCTTAGTATGGAACTTATTTTCAAACCGCATCATCTATTTACGAGCGATGTAAATGAACATTTTCCGATGATCAGCGACTTATGTCTATGATAACAGATGCATGTCCTGCTCAGTGGTCTGTTTAGTTCCAAACTTTCTCAAACGGGGTCTTACTAATTAGTCAATTATTCAACACAGCACACAGCAGGTATCTTCAAATATTTTAAAAAGATTCAAGATTTTGAAGATTTAAGTATTGGTAATTTGGTCACCATGAGCTCTGCATTCAAAGAATTTCCCTGAAAGGAAATACTTTTTGATGCATGTGTTTCTGCAGTCTGCCGTACAAATCATTCCTTGAAATAATTCCGTCAAATAATTGCGGTGATCTGTTAGATGCATGCTTCTTTTTTTATATTAAATTATAAATATGGTTTTCATTATTGATACTAAGAAATTAATCATTACTAATATCCTTTGTGTTATGTGTTGCAGGTCTCGTGAAATTAGGCGTCCATTGTGTGACGGGTAAAAAAGTAGCAATTAAAATAATCAATAGGGAAAAACTTAGCGAGTCCGTTCTCATGAAGGTGAGTAGTATTAATTATATGTACAAATTTTTCCATGTTTTTTTCTCCTTAGTATCATAATTTCATTGCTTTTTAATTCCTAAACACGCAATGAATGGCAATGAACGCGAGGTGGGTCCACGCGCCTTCAATTACATCAATAGGCAACAATAATGACCAATGAGTGGGAATAATTGCATCCTCACGTTTCGCTAAAAGGAGTTGTTGGTTTTAAATGTTTTCTTGAAAGCGCACTTTCTCATCTTTAGAGAAACATTTAAAATCAGCAGGAAATTTCAAACTATTCACTGGAAAAAAAACACATTGGATCTAGAGTCCAGACTCTTAAAAACATTGACAAGAAAAAATACTCTTGATTCAATCGGATTTTTGCTTTAATCAAGAACCAAGCCTCTTAATTTGAGCGGATTTTCTTTTGATTTAAGCAAAAATCTGATTGAATCAAGATTATTTTTTCTTGTCAACGGTTTCAAGAGTCTGGACTCTACTTTAATTGTTATTTCATATGGAGGACGTTGCTTCAACCGTTCCTTGAAGCCCCTCTCTTTGATGGATGACGCTCGGTGAAATTCCAGGAGAGATACGTACCTCAAACAATTTGCCCAAAGCTCCTTTAAATTATGCAACTACACGCGCGAGTCGGACCCCACGCGAACAGGCGACTGTGACTCATCGCGCGTCGATGGGGACAGACGATAGGCGGCGCCTTGTGCGTCTGTGCGTAATCTTCCTCTTTCAGTATTTACGAGAGTTTTATTGGCACTAATCGCAACCTCTCACAGTCACGTGGGGGTTGCTTGTAAAGCACACTCCAAAAACATCCACCATGGTATTTTAAAGGTGGATTAAGCCAGCACGAGTGTGCATTGCAGTAAGAGAAGGAACGGCTCTCTCCCACTTTAGTAATATGGCTAATGCCACTACTCTTCAATTTGAAAAATATTCCAAAAATTTACAACGATAAATTTTTATTTAAATTATGGCATCGCCTCGAGACTCACATTTCAACATATTTTATGAAGCGATGTCCCTGTATAGTTTGAATTTGAAATCTATCAATCGCACTCAGAATGCACTGAGCCAAAGTTGAGAATCCACCATACGTTTGACATGCTTAATTTTCTCTAAGCGCGGAAAAGAATCGATTCGACCGCAGTTCCTGAATAAATACTACTGAGGAACATACTATAACTGCTAAATATACTAGTACTATAACAGAACATACTATACACGCGTAACAATTTTAATCGGTCCAACGTACTTAAACGTACTATGTATACTTGTATCAAGGAAGAACGCCGTATGAGCATTCGAATCTTGCCAAATTTCTTTTCGGAAAAGATTTAATTTTGGAGAAAATTATGAACATCCGTCCTTGCAATTTTTAGATTTTTTAGATCAAATTACGAACAAAATCCTCTGTAAATTTGGAAGAGAAATATTCTCAAATTTTTCCGAAAACCCACGATTTTTCGGAAGAGATTTGGCAACGCCTGAGTTCTCATACGTCGTTTTTCTTAAGCACGACAGTATAACTAATCGAGCACGTGTGCAACGATTCCGTGCAGAGTAAAGTGAAAAGCGTGAGTAGAAGGCGTAGACATTGACTCTTGCTTTGTGACTATTTTGGTTTCAAATGACTTTTCATTCTCCTGCCTTTTGGTCCGCCGATCGAAATGGATGTAAGTCAATTATCACTGATGGCCCATGCCAAATTACATTGAGCAACGTTGAAAGGTCTACTGATAAACATTTCTCACTTCGATAAGTTCCTAGAACTTTTTTTCTCTCCAAATGGCAATTCCGTTTCATATCTTGAATCAAAAGAGCACGAGTCCGCTGAAACTTGAACCGCGGTACATATTGTATAATTTTTAGAAAGGATTACCTGGGAGAGAAAGGAGGGAGGGGGAAAAGACGTACGTCATAGATTGATTAAATAATATACCCTTGAAATATCAAATAATTTTTCAAGATCAATCAATTACACCGAGTAATTTAAGTGCGTCTTTTTCAGGGAAAGGGGTCGAAAAAAGGTAACCTTTCTAAGGTACAGTTAATTTATCGAATTCTTAATTAATCATCAATACTATTGCAAAAACCATATAATGGCTCCATCAAAACGCAAATTTTTAGGCATATAACCACGTGAATGACGTCGTAAATCGAATTTTTCAACGCGCATTATATCGGTCAATATTAAACGTAGAGAGTTGCTGTTTGGACGGATCTAAATATTTTTAGCTAATCTGGAAGAATCAAGCACCAAAACCTGATTCTGTGACCAGCGCAACTAACCCATTAGTCTACGCTCGCTATCCCTTGCTCATTCACGAAATTACCTAACTGCATAGGGGCGTAGATACAGCACATATCGTTTCTAAAATGAGCCAAAAGTAGTAGTTTCTCATTGCAAAACGTGGTCCAATTTCTCACTCAGAACGTGCACGTACTTACAAGGTGATTGCCGAACCTTTAATGATACCAAATTTCATTCGTCAATGCTCTCATTTGGTCTGAGAACGACGGGAGTAAGGCGCTCACTGCGGTAATACCTCGGCGTCTGAAGTATCGGCATGGCAACAGAACGAGGTTCCTACCCTCCTAATTCGATAAACTTCCGCCCTCCCTCCCCTACATCATCCCTCCTTCCCTTCCCGCGTTTTCGCGGTGCATCGCGATTTCTCTCAGACGTGTTTCTTGATTCAAAGCCCCACCCCCCCCTCCGCCCCCGCGTTCCACCCTCTATCTAATTAAGTTTCGTTTCAGCAAACATCAACACTTCATCAATTTCAATGAATGGCGAATGTACGCCGGTACACGGGGCACACCGTTAATGGCATGCATTTGCTTTCATTTGCATCATGGCGCCGGGAAAGTGAAATGATGTTGCGGATTTTATTACCGACTGTTGAAAAGTTCTCTAGGCTGGAAATACAAAAGAATCATAGGATATCATGGGATTTTATGGATATCACTCAGGCTGGATATGTAATGGAGTCACAAGTGAATTGGCCATAATAAAATCATCTGAATCAACCAAAATTAAGGGGAAAAAACAGATCAAATCATGGGATAGTTTCGAATTTTCTCTGACTGGTGAGTTTTTAAATTTTATTTTAACCGTTGACCTAGTCTGGTACTTTTTACATAATTGAACAACAATATCATGCTTAAAGGAAACCAAAATTCGGTAATTCTGTGTTCAACAAATATCCATCATAATTTGTTGAAATATGCTTCTTCTTTTTTGGGAACGATATTCAGTATGCGAGCTCCACAAGATGTGCTTTTCCAATTGACTCAATCATGGTGGAAAGTTTTGAGGCAAAGCTTGGATTAGAATGAATGGGTTTCAATAAAACAAACGATTGGTATCAGGTATTAGAATTTATTCGTTAGAACATACCCAAAATATGAAAAAAAGAAGGAAGGAAAGGAAAAAACGTGCAAAAGATTTATGAGCATCTCTTTTGGTGAATGATGTGTGACAAACATTAGAACTAGAGCTACAATTATAAGACTCTTTAATAAAAAGTATTAATTTTAAAAAAAAATGGATGTTTTAGAGTATATTATTCCATTGTGCTTTCAATTTAAGGCATGGCTTTCGATAAAAAAAACTGTAATGTCTCCATAATATAGGTGTGAATTCAGTAAAAATGAAATGAATCCTTACGAGAAAGTACGAAAGGAAAAGCTTTTAACAGAATTAATCGCTTAATTTTCACAATAAATCATGCATTTCATTTCAACTAAAACAAGTGCACTAATTACATTGCGGTAGGGGAACGAGAACCTTCAACTAAAATAAATTGGTGTAATCTGCGTTAATTTTAATGATCATAATTAACGAATTATGTACGCGTCAATGGTAGGTACAACTCGAAAACTCCGTATCTCAATACATTTCATTATTTCAAAATATCCGTTCTAAGTTCTTACTCTATTCGATATAGGAATTCTCTGATAAATTACATTTTTGCGAGAAATATTCCAGGTAAAAAATTAGAGAAACAAGATAAAAATCATATGAAACGTGAAAAAATATCCGACGGTTGGTTTTCCCTCATTAAAATGGTAACGAAGGGAGTCTGGAATATCGAAAACGGAGATGCAGGGTTTCATGGTTCCCCCACCAACGAGTCGCAAATCCAACGACGTTTCTTTCAGGTTTATTCACTCGAAGATATCCATCCCAGTTCTACCGTATTTGAGAAGAACGCCATATGAACCTTCAGGCATTGCCAAATTTCCGTTGATAAATCACGAAATTCCGGACAATTTTTAAAATACTTTTCTTAAGATTTTTTAGAGAATTTTGCTCGTAATTTTATCTAAAGTGTCAGAAAATGCCAAGGGAAAGTATTCATAACTTTCGACAAAATTAAATATTTTCTAAGAGGAAATTTGGCAACATTCGATACATTGCTCATACGGTATTTTTCCTTAGCACGGCAGAGTTGAACTCATAATCGATCGGAGAAAGTTCGACAGAATGGAGAGGGAATAAACCGCCAGCCGTCGATGTAGGTATCCTTTTAATTTATTAAATAAAAAGACCTTCGATTCAGGTTAAAGTGCAATACCATTGAGCGCAGGTTTGATCACGGGGAAATGCCTCTTTGAAAAGAGAGGGGGTTCGGCAGGGGGCACGGATATCGTGTAAGTAAGCTTTACGTCCCTTTAACCCTCGTCGCTCTCAGCACCTGCGGCATGGAGGGATTTTCCAACGTTGTCAAACGCCATCCAAGCCGGAGGAATTTCGTCTCTTCACCCCAAAGAGTCCAAACGACTTCCTTTCCATCGTTTCTTAAAAAAACTTGAACATAAACTATGAAAACTTCACAAACTGATTGCGGTGGACGCAAGAATCGTAAGACAGTAAGTTGGAATTTATTAGTCAACGTGCGTTTAAATTCTGCAATTGCCTTCCTGAAGGGTCGTAACTAGTGTTGCACCAAACAGCGTTTCTCTTGGAGGGAAAATTGTGCTCATAT